CTGAGCCTGGTTCTGCTGGAGGTTTCTTCCTGTTCAAAGGGAGTTTTTCCTCTCCACTGTCGCTACAAGCATGCTTAGTGTGAGGGATTGCTAGAGTCAACATCTACTGCATTTACCTGCTCATCCAGGAGCAGAGAATCCTGTAAAGTCTATGTTGTTTACGTAGATAGAAACTTTGAACCTTAAATCTGACTGGATTATATGATCGAATAATCTCTGAAAGGGGACCTCAGATGACACGCTGTGAATGGGAGCTTTAAAGGGGAAGGCACCATTTCCAATCCAAAAACATAACGGCACACATTAAAGGCAAAAGGTGTCTGTTTCTTAGAACATCTTGGGTACAAATAGTCGTGACATTAAAAACAAAAACTGAACAAAAAAACTAAAAGTCTGTAACCAGCTTAGGGAGAACAGTATGTGAAGCGGTAGAGCAAATCATCTGGTCCCTGTGGGGAATCAGAGCAGTGCTCTCAGTCTAAGGTGTGTTTGTGACGGTTAGGAAGATGAAAGATGGAAAAATTTATTAAGTCAAAAAACAACTATCAGCCTGAAAAAGTTAAATCAATCAACGACCCAAATAATTCATTACTCCGCTTCAAAGTATGATTTTAATTATTTCATTTAGGAATAGTCCATTTACACTGCACACATGCACAACAGCTAGTACAGCTTTTAGAACAAAGGTCGGCAGTGAGTGAAGAGACGTTTTCTAAACATTATTAATAATGAATCTAGAATTATAATACGGTAATCTGAGTCCAAAGACTCCAAGTAACAGAATGAGTCAAAATAAAAACAAGTTCATTGCCTTAGTAAAACACCCATAATGCTGACTGACTGAAGGGGGGGGTGACAGATTTCAGGTGCGATCTTCGTGATTCAGAGTTTCCATGCATGGCGGTCCAGATTACAGAGGGCTACGTTTAAAAAAGCTATTGTAGAAAAAGCAAGGAGATGCATGAGGATTGGGTAAAGTTCATCATTCAGCTGAGGTCACTAGATTCCTACACACAAGGCAAAAGGGTTTGGCATCTGTAAAACCTGGCAGGTCGTCTAAAAGGACGTGCCGAAGAGTCCAGCGAGTGCTTCAAACTCAGCCTGCACGCTTCTCCTCTCAAAGAAATTCCCTCTTAGACACTTCAAAAGTGCAAAAAAATAAAAATTCTTCACACAAAAAAAAAGTCCATAGAATGAATCAAGTCAGACAGGAGTCTCATGCAAACGGCCCCCGGGAAAACGCCATCGTCTCGCAGCGTGACATCACAGGTCCCTGTAGAGGACCTGGATGGAGCCGGAGGCTGGAGGAAGAACAGAGTGGAGAGGGGAGGAGAAGCCTTCCCTCCAAACAAGCAATGTGCAATAAAAAAACAAAGAGATTAGAAATCCTCCCGTCATTTATAGAGGGATCACTGTGTGACATCAGGAAACACATATTTATACAAATAAACTCACTACTAGCTTACTTTTTATGACTGTAGCACCTTTTGCTTATATTCAAGACACGTTTTCAGGAATGAGTAAAATACATAGACGTGTTAAAACCCAGGGTCTAGATCCAACATGGTGGTGCACATCTAGGAACATGTTCTACCGTACGAGGAAAGGATGTATAAAAATAGATTCATTTTGCATAAACATCTCTACGTACTTAAATACTCGGTTATAAAAGTCATAATATTTACACCAGCAACATTATCATTAAAATCCATGACCACACTGTGTGGCAGAGTAAATATGCAGGAATCTTCAGCGCCGGATGGAGGAACTGCAGTTTATGTTTAAACGAGCGGCTCAGCGCCGACCATCAGCCTCACGGCGCCGCAGCGCCTGGAGGAGCTCCGTCAGGTGAACATGCTGCTCCACCCGCGCTGGAGGAAAAGATGGGGAGCAGAAACCAAGGAGAAGAACCTCAAAGAAGGAAGTCTGGACAGAAGCAGAACGGCGGGCGCCTCAGACGGACCGGCAGCAGCTGCTGTGTTCTCAGCAAACACACACTGTGGTTTTATTATGCTGCTGCAGGATGGGAGAGACGCCGCTGGACTCCTGCTTCTTCTCAGCGTTGTGCTGGACCAGCGGCAGCCGGTCAGAAGTTCTGCGTTTGGTCTTCTTGGCCAGGAGGCCCGATGAAGGGGAGCCGTCCACAGTCCTTTTGTTGGACGTCCTCCCGGTGGAGGTGCCGTCTGTTAGACCGGAGTGACCGGGGGAATCTGTGCTGCTGTTTGAGTAGAGAGGAGTCAGAGCGAACGGGTCAGACAGAGACATGTGGTAGAAGGCGGGGCCTCCAGACAGCCCATCCCGTCGCTCCAGTGGAGGCAGCAGCTCCGACATGGCGGAGATGGAGTCTTCATCCGAAGGCGGCTGCAGGAAAGACGAGCATAGGGGCTTCGTTAGACCGACCGCTCTGGGAAATGTGGATATAAAGCCTCATTTAGGAGGTTTCTCTGAAACATGAGGACCTAGAGTCATCCTTACCTGGAGCAGAGGAGCGTCCGAGCAGGAAATGGGAGTAGGACTCTGGGACACTTTGGCCAGGTCCAGAAAGACCTCCTCGTTGTGAAATGTCTCCTGTGATTCACCAGGTTCCAGCAGTGCGATCACGATGGCGCTGGTGTTGTCAGCACGCAGCATTCGCTGGCGCCACCGCACCAACGCGTGGCTCACCAGCTTCCTGGCGCTGGACACCCCACCCGGTACCTATAGGAGGAACGCTGTTACTGCACTGATGAAGAGCGACGACGAGGCAGACCTTGTTGGTTATCATTTGATCGACCTTTGACCTGAAGTAGCACAGAATCATCTACTGCAGCTTTTCAGGTCCAAGGAGCCCAACAGCTTACCGCTTCCTCGTCGTTCTTCTGACACATGGAGATGGCCTCCTGAGGCGGCACCATGTTCCAGAGGCCGTCGCTTCCCAGGATGATGTAACGATGCTTTCTAGGGTTAAGAACCACCACGCTGGTGTCTGGCTCCGGAGAAACCACAAACTCCCCGCTGTAGAAATCATAGCTCCACAGATCACCTGTCAGGGGGAAGAAAAGAAGATTAGAAACCCTGAAAGAGGTCCAGATCAACTATGGCGTCATTTTTGTGCCAACGACTTGAGCGTGGCGTTACCAGTCTGAGCGTGCAGCAGGAACCATGTGCAGCGTTCTTATTCCGAACCTGTCTGGTGCGAGCTTCACTCTAAAATCATGTGAACGTTTCTGTGTGCACTCAGCTTCTCTCTGCATGCGCTCAGATCTCTACCCACTTGCCTATGGCAGGCCACGTTGACATTTATTGACTGAATATTAATCCAGATGTCTCAGATAGATCCAAGTTTGCACTCCTTTTTAGAGCTGATAAGTTTTGGGTGCGTTTAAACGCTGCACATGGTTCTCACCACACGCTCAGACCGGTAACACCATCATACCGTATATAATCAAGTCTCTACATTTCCAGTGTGATCCATTCCATCGGCAGCGTGAAGCTTTCATTCCTCACCTAGAGCGCGAGCAACAGCCAGGAAAGGAATCTGGTCGATGACGGTGCTGCGGCGAACAGGTCCATTATGGCTCAGCCTGGGCCTCTTCCACACCACCCGGTTCACCCCCGACTTCTTGATTACACTGAGGGACAGAAGACAACACAGACGTTTACACTAGCATCCACCAAAGTCCACAATTATTGGGAAAAAAAAGGTTTTAGATAACAAAGCATTCTTCTTTTAGTCTATTTCTGTATGAGACATTTGATCACTTCCCTTCATAAAGGGCAGAATAACAGTTTATATAAACATATTTGTTTAACCTCACATCCAATGGGACGTTTTAACCTGGCTTCCCTGGTTCTCCGTATCCCTGAACATTTGTCCTACATTAATCTGGACCTCAGCATTTCTCTGACCAGTAGAACCAGCGAAGCCATTTCTGCTGATATGGAAAAACACTGATTTAAATTTCCAGCAACTAGATCCGTCCAGATGTTGCTTCAGACTGTTGACATAAAGCAGGCCTGGTCTGAGAGACGCTCTGAAGCAACAGAGCGTCTCAAAATCTGTCCCATCCAACTATAACCTCCTACAGACCTCTGATCGTCCATTTAATATCCAGATTCCAGGGATAGCAGAGCATCGGCTCATTTCTTCTGAACAGATAATTATGCAACCCTTCATTTGGGAATTTATTTCATAACCACGGCTTTCAAAGAACCAGTTTGTGCTTCTGAATTACTGCTGACTGCTACACCTCTAATCACTTCAGCACAAATTATCCCAGGAAGAATGTGAGGACATCCAACCTGAACATATTCCTGGAAAACAGAGTTTTGGAAAGCTCCGGTCAATCCTAACTTTATATTAGAGGGGTGCGCCCAGCGGCGTGGCGGTCTGTCGATCAGACACATGGGGAGGCGTCTTTTTTTATCATCATTTGTTTAAAGAGTTTCCTTCTGATCCAGGAAATGCCCAGAGCTTCCCCTCCTAGATGTTGCACCGCTGAGGAATGCAGAAACAGGGGTCACTGTTTACCTCCCACCGAGCCCTTCGATGCGCTCCCTCTCTTTGGGTAATTCCGGCTTGTGGTCTTGCGTCAGTTCCACCGCTTTGATGAACGGGACGGACGGGTCGTCCTGAACTCCCAGAACGACGGCTGAGTCTCCTACGTGGGCCACATACATACGGTTTCCCCGGAGGACCACTACGCTGGCTGTGGTGCCTGATGTGCTAGGAAGGCCTGTGAGGGTCTTTGGCCATTCAGCTGTGAAGAACAATGGAGGAAAAACACTAAGTTACCCATAAATGTTGATACTGAGCTTAAGGACAAAACACTGTGTCTCATTAATCCCTCTTTAATTAAGGATGTTTAATATAGTTTACAGTAGGGCTGAATGAATCAAATTAATGAGATAAATAAATCATTAAAATAATCATAAACTAATTCAGTAATCAATTAATCTTTAACTGGAGTATAGAGACTGTAAAACATGCATTCAGCTGACAGAGTGACTCACTTGGAGCAGGAAAATAACAAGATTGTAAAAAAAATAATAATAATGTAAATATTTAGCATTAAAAAAACAGATTTATCTGGTAGAAATGTCCACCTGTCTCTGACACCCTGAAGACCAGAGCCTTGGAGCTGTCTCCATGTCTCTGGTAAAGTCCACAGTGCAGGTTTCAGGACATGCACAGAGTGGTAATAACTGATAAACAGCTGACATGTCCAGGCTAGTCCACTCTGACAGCATCTAATCAATCAGATCAAGGCTTCAATGTCTGCATGGTTATGGTTAATACAACTATTCCTTATTTGTGCACATTAATTATGTTTTTGATTAAAATCCTTTCACTAAAATGCCATCAGAACGCATGCAAACCATTTGAAAACAAACCATGCAAAGAGCAGTGTTGCCAACTTAGCGCTTTAGTCGCTATATTTAGCCACTTTTCAGACCCCTCTAGCACTTTGATTTCTAAAAAGCTCCTAGCACCAAATCTAGAGACTTTTTTT